CAAATGAAGATATTTTTGATTAAATTTGAGAGCTGTATAACTACCACATAGGCTCCTAAGGGACTGCCTCTTGACGGCCCAGAAAGTCAATGAAGAAAATGTTTAAATATCCCAAGTGACTACCGTGGCTCAACTATATGTTTATCAAGCGACGAGAATACTTTTTGTGCGAAAAAACAAACAAAAATAACGAGTTTATTCGACTATTTCTTTTCTTCCTTGTAGGCCAGAAACGAGATTTTCTTAGATTTCCACGACGCATGCGCGAGAATTGCGATCTGAAGTTGTGTAAGCAGATAGCAATTCTCGCGCATGCGTCGTGGAAATCTAAGGAAATCTCGTTTCTGGCCTACAAGGAAGAAAAGAAATAGTCGAATAAACTCGTTATTTTTGTTTGTTTTTTCGCACAAAAAGTATTGTCGTCGCTTGATAAACATATAGTTGAGCCACGGTAGTCACTTGGGATATTTAAACATTTTCTTCATTGACTTTCTGGGCCGTCAAGAGGCAGTTGCTTAGGAGCCAATGTGGTAGTTATACAGCTCTCAAATTTAATCAAAAATATCTTCATTTGTGTTCCGAAGACGAACGAAGGTCTTACGGGGTTGGTACAGCATGGGGGTGAGTAATTAATGACTTAATTTTCATTTTTGGGTGAACTAACCCTTTAATGTGCACTTTGTCCCAATTGCAGCAGAACAGGATTTGAAAAAGCAATAGCAGTGTTTCATAAGTGTGCAAATGTAAAAATAACTACTGACTGACAAATGTCATCAATGGCTTTAATAGAAGGCACAATCCTCTAAATTCTGAAGAGAAGAGAAGCTCCAGTGGAGTGAATGGTCCTGCTCTATGATGGCTGTGCTTCTGCTTCTCAGACCTCCTGCCATAAATCTGATCAAACGGGGAATGTTTCCGGCAGGATAAATGGCTGCCTCTCACAGGGGAGCCAAGATTGATAGTCAAAGTTAAATTGTATTAGCTGTGCAGTTTAAATATTTAACCCAGTCTTATCATAACTGCTCTTAACACTTAAAGTAAAATACAGCAGGGGTGTCTGGAGAGGGATCTGCGGGCATATATCTCTCACCACCTCCATGCTCCTGCAGTGCTATTGTCCAATAAGACTTAAATGGCTTGACTTATTATGAATGGTCATTATAAAGCTCTCTAGAAGATTTGAGGTGATAACAAGAGTGAAGTGTTTTCATGGAGGCCACTGCGGGTTTGTGAGCTGCATTGCTGTTAACATAATGGTCAGTGAACATAATTCTCTCTTTTTTTTTTTTTTTTTTTTTTTTTTACAAATCAGTTCATTTAAATTCCTATCGGTTGTAACCTCTTTTTCCTATTTGTAGTGGAGATGGGTGGTACCCCGTGGGGTCCTCTGCTGTTGTAGCCCATCTGCCTCAAGGTTGTGCAAACTGTGGCTTCACAAAATGCTTAGCTGCATACCTCGGTTGTAACGAGTGGTTATTTCAGTCAAATTTGCTCTTCTATCAGCTTGACTCAGTCGGTCCATTCACCTCTGACCTCTAGCATCAACAAGGCATTTTCTCCCACAGGACTAGTGGTCGACCGAAATGTTTGTTTTTTTTGTGGCCGATGCCGATATCTGAGTGAGCAGGGTGGACGATAGCCGATATAAAGCCGTTATTTATATATTTTTTAATATGCATATTAAATATAAACACACACACACAAATACATATATATCAATATTTAATAAATTAGATCAATTTATAACTTATATTTAAAAAAATCTTTAAAATAAACATTATGGCCCTTAGGCCCTATACTGTAGATGGCAACTTCTTGAATCTGCAATCCCATTACAGTTTTTTTTTTTTCACAAATAAAGTCATTGTTTATAAACATATGAATTTTTTAATAAAAATTAAGGAAGTAAACATTGTAACAGGGCACTCAGTAAAATGGTAATTTCATACGCAATTATATAAATACTTTTTTTTTTAACGTAACGCTAATTTTACATACAGCACACTGTAAAACGACGTGAATATGACACAGTGGGCAACTGGATATGGCACAGCATATTTTGTAATAAAGGACATTTGATCGCGTCTCCTGTGAAGCTGATCTTTTCTTTGCATTAACTCACTGCACACAGACCTTCACTCCGAGTGTAACACATTTATGCCGGCTAAAAATATGCACTTCACAAGATACCACAGCTGGATTCGATTAAATCTGCAAGGTTTGTGAAATTAAATGTTTATTAGATATTCAGAGATTTGTTTAAATGATGTAGATGCACATTTGCTGAATGTTGATGGTAAATGAGAAAGTATTTTAGGCTGATTGTTTGCCTTTTCTGTTACAAATAATATAAAAGCAAACGTATTACTTTTTCACATACCATTTACAGTATTTGATTATGAGTTCTGAAGACTCCAGTTCTGTCAAACAAAGTATTAGATATGACTGACAGTGATCGTAAACTAATGAAGACAGAGAATGTGAGTGAGTGCTATGTCATCACTGATCAGGCGCTGCGTTCTTTTCTCAGGTGCTCAGTTCCACCCGACAAAATAAAAGTCTGCTGCAGCGCCGTCAAAATAAAAGTCCTGCTTCCAACACATCGGCCAATCAGAAAAAAAATAATCGGCCGATCCCGATATTTTAAAAATGCCAAATATCGGCCAATATATCATTCGACCACTACACAGGACTTCCGCATACTGGATGTTTTTCCCTTTTCACACCATTCTTTGTAAACCCTAGAAATGGTTGTGCGTGAAATTCCCAGTAATTGAGCAGATTGTGAAATACTCAGACCGGCCTGTCTGGTACCAACAACCATGCCACGCTCAAAATTGCTTAAATCACCTTTCTTTCCCATTCTGACATTCAGTTTGGAGTTCAGGAGATTGTCTTGACCAGGACCACACCCCTAAATGCATCGAAACAACTGCCATCCGATTGGTTGATTAGATAATTGCAATAATGAGAAATTGAACAGGTTTTCGTAATAAAATGTGTGTGTGTGTGTGTGTGTGTGTATATATAAAAAATGAAACACAAAAAGATATAACACAGGTGAACACACACACAAAAAAAAACATAACCCCTGCAGACCCTCATGAAAATGTCAGTCAATTAGCCTCCTAAATTATCGATTATTATGCATCGTCTGGAATACTACAGAATCTCTGGATCAAAACACAGGAAAAGAAGCAGCAGAAACAAGCAATGGAAGCACTATGTACTGTAAGCTAACACAATCATCAAACATTAAATGGTATTTAAATCAAAACTGCCAAACATTACAGAATGAAATGTCGAACCCATGAAGAGGTATAGGACCGTGCAAGCTTTGGGTTTGTTGATGGAACGTGATGTACATGGCATATGTTTTGGTCATCTTTCTGAATGTGATCTGGATCAGAAAGTGATTTTCTCAGCTTCTGGTTCAACGTTGCATTTTTAATGAAACTTACCCACATTTAAGTTGATAAAAATTTAAAGCTACCTAGAATAAGCAGAGGCTCTGTACTTTCTTTTGGTATATTGTATGTTCAGATATTATACAACAAAATATCCTTTGGGCCATGAAAGTTTTGTGGAAATTATTAAAAAATGCTGGTGCTGGTTTGCAGCTTTTTAAAAACCTGCTGGCAGGACAAGAGTTAAGATGCGTACGCATACAAGTTGAAACTAACTCTGACTACTTTCTTTAAATTTAAACTTTCTTGAAAATTCTGTAGTAAAAATTCATTATACTTTCCTTGGCAAATTTTTCCAAACCATGAACACAAAGAGTGCATTTCTAAGAACTCATTTTAACCTATATTTTTAAAAGATTTTTCCTTTGCTTTCCTGTGGATGTTTGTAACAGTTTGTCACAATAGTGCCGTTGCGGTTTCTCTTTCCTCTCATTTGTTGAAACGAGGAGCTGCTCGTTTATGATTATAATTAGCCGATTAGCGTGGTAGCGTGTCACGACGAGTCTAAATAAACACAGCTGCACAGCTTTTCTCTTGGAGCGGCAGATGGGACAGGGAGAGCATGAGACTATTGCGTTGAGAGAAATTTTTTTTTTTGCAGAGTAGCATGCCATTTGCCCTTGGACAGTGATCTGATCTCTCACCTGAAGGTAAATGTTTATGACGGAATCATAATTAAAACTCAGACGTTTAATAGGTCCAATTAAAACAATGACTTCATTTACAGCTGAACGAGAGCCGGCCCTATTTATTGGGAAGTGGAGTAATTGAGTTCTGGGCACTTGGACTGTTAACTCCCTCCTGCCTCCTGAGAGCCACTTCAGTTTCAGGGATTGAGGAAGTTTCTGAACACTAGAGGGCGAACGTTTCGAGCTCAAGGGAAAATGAATCTAATCACTATTGTGTTTGGAGGAGTGTTTAATCAGAGAATTTCATTTTTGCATTGACAGTTCACAACTTAAGAGTTACTGTTAAGTTCTGAGAGGGAATAAAAAGCCTCTCTCTACACTTCTTTCCTCAGCGTGTGTCTGTTTTACCGGATTAATGGGTTAAAGAATGAGCGGTTCTCCGTGAGCTTCTCTCCACATGATGGGATCAATGTCGTTAGGCGTGAGATGACGAAGCGGTAGAATATTTCTCCGTGGGCCGAGCGCAGATTGCCACAGGGGCCGTCAACCGATCGATAGGGACAGAGGCGAGCGATTGACTGACGCCGCCCTTTTCCTGGCACGGGCAGAGCATCGGGGGAAAAGAGAAATGGCCGAGGGAGGGGAAATGTTGAAATAATGGGCCTTGGAGGCTTTGAGTGCGGGGCGAGTGCTTGCCTGTGGAGGAGAGTGATGGGCAAATTAGGAGCGGCCTGGGTTGGCGATTCTACACACACACACTCTCTCATGAGGGGTAATAAAGTAGACCACTTTAACCATCTAACTACAGACTAAACTGCCATTGTGTTCTGTGCACACTTGTTGTTGGTCGTCCTCTATCATGCATACATTTCTCCTGACCTTTTCCTTTTCTCTGTAATTTCAGTGGCTCAGAAAATAGTTGCATCCCGGAAGAAACAACAACTCTCAATCGGACCCTGTAAGTCACTGCCCAATTCTCCAAGCCACTCCTCCGTCTGCGCAGCGCCTGTGTCTGCAGTGCATATCAGTCAGGTGAGTCTCACACACTTCCTGTTGAGTTGGGTTGGGACCTGTTCGTTTTGAAACACTTGTCAAATAATTTCTTGAAATGTTGAGAACAATTCATTTTTTTCTTATTATTTAGGGTTATGAGTGTGCATTCAAAGTGTTTGGATGTGTTTTTGGAGTCATATTGACCCAATTGGTTTCCATGTCTGTTGTATAGGGCTGGGTATCGATTCACATTTCAATTTCGATTCGATTTCGATTCGCAAGCTCTCAGTTCGATTCGATTTCGATTCTCGATTCGATTTTCGATTCTCGATTCCTGATTTGATTCTCGATTCAACTATAATGAAGATGTAATAAAAATCCTATATTTATAATTTATAAAAAAGAACAGTGGACATAAGTTTACTAGTGGTTAATTAATACAAGAAAATTAAGAGCCATAAACCTATATATAAAACACTTTATTTTAGGTACACTAAATGCATACAAAGATTTTGATGCAATATGCAAAAAAGAGTCGCACAGAACAGTCGCACAGCTTGATCAAACAGTATCATGTTATTTTATGTTTAAGATAGATACATATATAAATATTTAGACATTTTTTACATTGATCTTACCTAAATGTTAATGTATTTTTTTTTGTTAAGAGTTTATGTATGGATGCTTGATTTCAATCTTTGAATTAAATTGAAAAAAGTAGCACAAATAAATTAAGAGACATTTTGGGGTAGTTTTTTGGGTATGTCAGATATACTACAGAAACTGAATAAAGTAATCCAATGTAAAATAACACTGGATAGTCTTTTTAGTCCAGACTGAATTAAATACAAAGGCTATTAATTCTGATTGCTTACAATTAATACTATATTCTGTTGTTATGACAACAGAATTAATGACTGACACAAATGGCTGCGTTCACTTTAAGAACTAGTGTGCGAATCCATTACTGTTTCTTTCTGTCACACGCGTTTAATGCTAATTTAAGACATTACCGACTGTCTTTACGAGGTTACTCACCAAGACCAGAGTTTTGACATAATGTTGCGTGTTTTAACTGTTAAAGCGATATAATCCAGGGATAAAACTTTTGTTTCTGGCGAGCTGTTTGTGAGGCGGATTTAGGCTGTAACGTTACTGCACGCAGTGAAAGACATCTCTGAGAGTGCGCAAGCACGGGATGGTTTAACATTGCTTGAGCAAATGAATGATAAATGTTAGTTACGTTCATAGGTTACGATGCAATGCTGGCCCGATTGTGCAAGTGAATATTCCGTCGTGTCCCGACTCCTAAACGCGTGTGTGTATCGACAGCTGCAGCGCTTGGCGCTTGCCTAGTGCAGAGAGACGAGAAGATGCAGCACCGCGTCCGCGAGCCCTTTATATGGAAAAAAATCGATTCGTGGCCGTTGAGAATCGATTTTGAATCGACCACATTTTAAAAAAACGATTAATCGAAAAATCGATTTTTTTGCCCAGCCCTACTGTTGTAAAAAACTTCTATTGTAGCTTGTCAAACACTCAATTATGTAAAATACATGAGAACTTGTTAAATATAAGAATCAATTTTTACTCATCAAAAGTCTCATCTTCTGAATAATCCAATGAAAATGTACTGTTTCTTTTTCTGTTTAATCGCATACTGACAGTAATCCTCTTCCGCATGGCTCAGTCCTCATTGATTTCTCATTAGCATCGTACAAGTTAGTCTGTAGGTGAAGCTCAGGAAACGGAGGCCTATGGTGTTTCTATGTAGCATGAGATTGTTTTCTTGCTTTTCTCACTCGCTTTGTGTGTGTGTGTTGTTACAGACCAGTAATGGTGGAGGCAGTTTGAGCGATTACTCCTCTTCCGTTCCCTCCACTCCCAGTACCAGTCAGAAGGAACTGCGTATCGATGTACCCCAAACTGCCAACACCCCTACACCCGTCCGCAAACAGTCCAAACGACGCTCCAACCTCTTTACGGTCAGTTTGCTCTCCCATTAGACACATAGGTGTGTTTATAATTAATTAGTAACTAACTTTAGAAGTGAAATGACAAAACTACAATAACTGCAGTTCATTTAATTGCATTTGTTACAAAGTGAATACAAAATCAACACAAATAAAATAAAATTGATTAGGGATGCACGATATATAGGCCAGCGTATCGGTATCGGCCAATATATGTTCATTTTTAATGTTAGCGTTATCGGCCTGGTAATAAAATGTGGCCGATATATTAAAGCCGATAAATAATGTATTTTTCCCTTCAGCTGAGACACTTGTTGAGCACTGTTTATGTTTTTGAATTTCTTGAAATATGATTGAAATCTCTTCAAAAAATGAAAATACAGTTCGGTACAACATGTGCAGCGCAAATCTGTCATATCGGCTATACAACACTATAATGAGAATATCATTTTAATTGTGCGCTTGGGACGTGGATTTAATTGTGAGACTTTTGGTTTTGTAATCAGGCTCTCAATATTAGGTAAAAATTTGGATTTAAATTTATCGGCCGATATATTGGTTATCGGCTTTCAAATATAAAGAGTTATCGGTATCGGACAATTTTCATATCGGTGCATCCCTAAAATTGATAAAATAATAATAATAAAGAATTATATATATATATATACTGTATATATATATATATAATTTGATAGATTTATTTATATATTTATTTGTATGTACAATTCTGTTCAAATGTTTGGGTCAGTAAGTTTTTAATTTTTAATTTACTTGAGAATTTAAGCAAGGATGCTTTAATGTTGCAAATGATTTTGGTTTCATCAAAGAATCCTGAAAAAAAAACACTTTGACAAAATTTTAAGCAAGCACAACTGATTTAAGCATTAATAATGAGAATTAATGTTAATGAAAATGTTGAGCATGTTTGATGACTTTCAAAAATGTCGTCAAAATCTTACCAACGTCAAACTTTAAATATATATAAATACATACATATACATAGATACCACTTGGTGGTGGCGCATTGGATAAGACACATGCCTTTGGTGTGAGAGACCAGGGTTCGAATCCACTGTGAGACACCAATGTGTCCCTGAGCAAGACACTTAACCCCTAGTTGCTCCAGAGGTATGCGACCTCTGACATATATAGCAATTGTAAGTTGTTTTGGATAAAAACGTCAGCTAAATGAATAAATGTACAGTACGTACATACATACATACATACACACACACACACACACTTTATATGATCAGTAAATTGACAGCCCCATTCTTCCAGTCTTGTAAGCTCTTTAGTAGTGTACGTCCTGCACATGTACCACATGTCTTGCTTTCAAGAAGTTGGGGGGGTGGGGTCACATCAAGGTCAAGTTGACCCCTCCCACACCCCCTTGACTTTTGAAGTCAAGAGAGTGTGCCCTGCACTCCAAACTGGATCTGGTCTGAAGTAAGGCTCAATTAGCAGCTATCTCGGCTTTGACTAAAATGATGTCTTCTCCCCCACAGTCTCGGAAGGGAAGCGAACCAGACAGGGAGAAGAAAGGGATGGATGGCCGCGCAGACAGCATTGGAAGTGGCCGCGCTATCCCAATTAAACAGGTAGGGTCTGGCCGGCCGTCTGGGCTGGTATAATTGGAGTCCAACAGCGGCGTATTGTGGACGAAGGGGCCTCAGATCAGTACTCAGACCCGCGAGAAGCCCGTTTGATGCCATCTTCTTGATTAACAGTGAAAGCACGCACTTGACATCAATTAGAGCCAGGCTCTCCCGTGTGCTGAAATGAGATCATTAGGATAAGATGTGGGAAGGGATTTTTCTCTCCTCAATGCACTATACCCCCCCCCCCCCCTCCACAGCCAAAACCCCTACACCATCTCACTCTTCCACCTTCTTTTTCCCTGTCAAGCGTGGGGATAGAAAAAAAAAGCTAAGAGGAGCCTAATGAAGTGCAGTCTACCAATCTGCATATGGGCCCATCTTTCCCATCAGCCCTCCCCGAAAAGTGGTGTGGGGGGGGTTGAGAAGCAAAATGTGATGTGAAGACGACCCCCCCCCCCCACACACACACACACACACACACACTGTGGGAGAGATAGTTTTACTTGGCCTTAATTTGTCACAAACAAGGGTGTGTAGTGAGAGAGTAAAGAAAAATGCTAGCTAGCGTGGGGGGTGGGGGGCGAGATCATCCTCTGCGCATCTCAGCTGGAGTGAAAGAATCAGGTAATTAGCGGCACTAATCGTGCCCTCTCATGTCAGCGCCGTGGCCTTGTTTGTAATTTTCTAATGAACAAATTGCATCTCTGATTAAAGCTGCCTTTAAGTGAGATCTGTGTTTATTAGCGCGCCACAGCAGAGAAGCGCTTCCACCGTACAGCGCAGCTGGCGTTCAAAAGCGAAGCTGCAGACCTTTTGGATGTGTGGGTTGCGTTCGGAACCCGCTGGGTTCACATTGAGAGGCTCCATTGGAGGCAAGGACATTTGCACAAAACTCCTGGGCAATGAAGCGGAGCTGTAATCGGCCCCTCTTTTCTGCAAATTAGACATCGGAGATTACATTGCGTCTTTGCTGACATGTGTGGCATTGTAATACTAAAATCCTGCTTAGTATAATCATAATTCGAATGTTGAAATATGAGCTATGGATCAATGATGTGACATCGATTTTTTCTTTCTTTTCCCCATACATTAAAATGCATGCTATCACTTGAACTCATCGATGATTCTATGATTTTAAAATAAATAAATGAAATTAATTTCATTTTTTTTATCAAAAGTATCAGGATGATATAACTGTTCTGATATCATAATGAAGAAGAAAATAATCATTAAAGGAATGCAATTTTTGTTTGGCATAATATTTTATTATTTATAAATAACATGCTTAAAAAAACTGCTCTTAATTTGAAAAATATTTAACCGCCACATGTTAAGTGGTTGGACGTTCATGAATTAAACCTTAATTAACTATATATTATATAGAGGACCCTCATGCAATAGGATAAAAAAAAAATTAATACTTTTATTCAGACATTACCTAGATGGAAAATGGCTGCCCAGAAGCGTCACCTAGATGGCCGCTGAGCGAATTGCCTTAAAGGGACTTTGGAGGTACTTCTTTTTGGAGGCATACAAGCGAGTGCTAATGCTGCCAGCAGTGATCTCTCACCTCCTGCGGCTCTATTTGCATAAATCCTGTTAAAGTCAGTGGCGGTTAATGAAGAAGAAATGAGGCTGGCCTGGCTACAGCGGTGCTGAGAGCAGCGCGCCGCACTAGTGGCAGATGGGAAGGCTGAGCTATAGCAGGCAGCTGTGCGGAGGAGTGAGCAGCACAGGGTTCTGACTATAATCTGACTCTTCCGACTGGGCTTGAGCTGGGATCATTTGTATGTGCGATGCCAAGAGCAATCAAGACGAGAACGTGTGTTCTCGAGAGAGAGAGAGAGGGGTGGCTGCTGTTCCCCAACCGTGTTACATGTCATTAGAGCACGTCATTTGCGTAAATGATTACAATTTACATTTAACACTTAAAGAGATTGTTCATGCAACAATTTTAATTCTGCCAAGAATTCAGTCTTGTGTCGTTCCAAACCCGTAAGACTTTCGTTCATCTTCAAAACACAAATGAAGATATTCTTAATGAAATCGAAGTGATTTCTGTCCCGCCATTGAAAGTCTATTCACCAAAAACTTCTGATGATTCAAAACGTTCATAAAAAGAATGTAAAATAGATCCGGATGAATCAAGTGGAATTAAGTCTTCTGAAGACACACAATCGGCTTGTATGATGAACAGATTCAATATAAACATGATCAGCACTCAAATATGGTAAACGGAGGCTAAACCGTGCTTGATACGTGAGAACAAACCTTATTGGTTCTTGCGGAAGCTCAAACATACTGTCGTGACACATTGTTGGTTCTCAGGCATTAATCAAGGTTTACCAAATTAGAGTGCTTTATGTACGTTCTCTGATCAATGTTTTTATATATGAATAAAAGCCTAAATTTAATCCGTTCATCTTATATTAAACCACTTGTTTTATATTGATTTCTTTTACAATCTCTTAATGAATGTTTTGAAGCATCTTGAGTTTTGGGTGAATAGACTTTCAAAGGAAGGGACTCCAATTCTTATTTTAAATTATAGTAGGGAATCCTCATTATGTGCTCTTATTTTATAGGTAGCGAAAGAAAAGTTTGATTTAAATGTTGCATGTATTAGAGAGCCTGCAGTATAGTGAGGCATTAGCGGATGGAGAGCGTCTTACGGGTGGCCTGGCGCAGAGCCATATCTCTGAAGCATCTCTCAGCCTCTTGACACTGCAGGTACATAAATGAGGGATTAATTTCCTTGGTGTCAGACAGAGCCCACACACACGCACACTTACGCACACACTCTTGTGCTGATCAGAGGCTCCAGTGGTGGCCGTGTCCCTCATCTCATGAGGAGATCAATCAGAGCTCCCCAGCCTCTGCAGTGCACAGTGTTTCAGTTCTCCCTGCTGTCCCTGGTGCTTCAGCTTCATGTTAGTCCTTATTGAATCCCATGGCTGGCTAAAAGGCACTGTTTTGCATTTTCTATGATGATTTTAGGTCAGAATTTGTAGTGTAAACGATTTAAATAAGACTGCATATTTATATATATATATATATTAGGGGTGCAACGGTACAGATAGCCCACGGTACGGTCCGTACCTCGGTTTTTGGCCCACGGTCTCGGTTCGGTTTCGGTACATGTTTTGTACAGAAAGAGACTGCTATTTCATCCCAAAAATATGTTTTATTTTTATTATATGCATTAACATAATGTCACAGTAGGAAGAACATCAATGTGTATGAAATAAATTAACACTCTAGTCTGTACTGAACAGAACTAAGTAATACAACCTCTTCAACTGCCACTTATAAAATACAAAATCTAAACAAACACACTTTAGAATATTCAAGTGGATCCCAATTCCAAACCTTGATAACTGGTATATAAAGTGATCAATGTGAAAGAAAAAGTGCACTTTTACCTTTAACAAACATACATTAGCTTGTGGTTTGAATAAAAAGAGCCGAGCAAAATAATATAATAAAAAAAAACTTCATTCAGGATACAAAGTGCAATGTTATTTACTCATCCACTATTGAGAGATTCTTGTGCAAAAAGATACTGCAGTCAAACGTTTGACTGGGTTTGCGTTATGCATCCACTAGATGTGCTGGGAATGTAGCGAGTGCGCGGAGCCGGAGGTGAGGCGTTTATTTAGCAAGCGTGAGCGCGCTGGGGCGGGCACAACGTACATTCGCAGCCTGACTCATATATTCAATGTGCGGCGGCTCGCTGCAGCAACGGCTCGCTGTTTTGAATGAGACGACCCGGTACTGTGAACGGGGAGCGTTTTTTTGAACATCTGTGACGCGCGAGCAGCGCCGTGTGACAAAGCGGGCATATGCTGGACACGAGCGCGAGTTCGCGGGCGAATTTAATAACGCGGAGCGTTGTTAACTAATTCCATATATAAGGCGATCCGGATTATAAGGCACACTGTCGTTTTTTGAGAAGATTAAAGGCTTTTAAGTGCACCTTATAGTGCGGAAAATACGGGAAAAGGATCAGCACGAACTCTATGGCAAAACCGAAGTCCCGCGGGACACGAGGGTAGATTGTCCCGTGCAGGGCTGACCGAACGGTCCGGGATTTTACCGTGTACCGTTGCATCCCTAATATATATATTACATGAAATGGATGTATATATATTATACATCCCTAATATACATACTGTATACATCCAGGGCTCAACGCTCCCTTTCCACCACATCCTGGAGATGCTTTTTTTGGTTGAGATCTGGTGACTGTGGGGGCCATTTTAGTACAGTGAACTCATTGTCATGTTCAAGAAACCAATTTGAAATGATTCGAGCTTTGTGACATGGTGCATTATCCTACTGGGGGCGGTCATGGTGGTCATAAAGGGATGGACATGGTCAGAAACATCCCCCACACCATTACACCACCACCACCAGCCTGCACAGTGGTAACAAGGCACGATGGATCCATGTTCTCATTCTGTTTACGCCAAATTCTGACTCTACCATCTGAATGTCTCAACAGAAATCGAGACTCGTCAAACCAGGGAACATTTTTCCAGTCTTCAACTGAGCTCTTGCAAATTGTAGCCTCTTTTTCCTATTTGTAGTGAAGATGAGTGAGACCCGGTGGGGTCTTCTCCTGTTGTGCGTGTTGTGGCTTCACAAATACTTAGCTGCATACCTCGGTTGTAACGAGTGGTTATATCAGTCAAAGTTGCTCTTCTATCAGCTTGAATCAGTCGGCCCATTACCCGCTGACCTCTAGCATCAACAAAGCATTTTCGCCTACAGGACTGCTGCATACTGGATGTTTTTCCCTTTTCACACCATTCTTTGTAAACCCTAGAAATGGTTGTGCTTGAAAATCCCAGTAACTGAGCAGATGAAATACTCAGACCGATCCGTCTGGCACCAACAACCATGCCACGCTTAAAATTGCTTAAATCACCTTTCTCTACCATTCTGACATTCAGTTTGGAGATCAGGAGATTGTCTTGATCCGGACCACAACTGCCATG